TCGAAATCATGTTTTTGTTTAGTTCTAGCTTCAGCCCTGATTTGACTCGGAGAAAGACTATGCTTCATATCTACAATTGCATGTGTAGATTTCCCTTGCTTTTTGGGTGAATGTAGTGATAATACACCCAAATCGAAAGAAGGTATATCAGCTTCTAGAGTTTTTTTAGGGTTGTGCTTTGAAGGTTTGTTCTTCTTCATTGAGAAATTTTGAAGTTGAAGGTAAATGTGTGTATGAACTTTGAAGATTTGACTTCAATTTGACTGGTTGTAGAAGAATAAACTTGATTTTGGACGTTAATGGTAGGGGGTTACATATGTTTCTCTGATTTTAGCAGAGGGAATAATGGTTTGAAACGTGGGTGTGGGATGATACATGGGTGAGAGTGTGGGTTTGGAAGAGAGAAATGTGGGGGGGGGGGGGGGGATTTGGAGGAATATACGGTACAATTAATGTACCGTTAAAACACCTTATGGCATATAATTGGTAATTAGGTATACTAAATGTAATTATATCAAACCTTAAACATTGAGGGTAATATAGCTTCCTATATGGCATAGGAATGTAAAAATTCCAATATAAAATAATAAAGCTTTGAAATTTTTAACATAAATTGTAAAAATTCTAGCATAACTGCAATAATAACAACCCAGTAGAATCCCACTAGTAAGGTCTGGGGAGGGTAGAGTGTACACAGACCTTACCCCTACCCCAGAGAGGTAGAGAGGCTATTTCCGGAAGACCCTCGACTCAGAGACAATAGATCCATAATAACAACATAAACCAGAAAAATAATATCAGCAACGTGAGAGACAACAAATAAATGGGAAAGCAATAACACAAATACTATGCAAAAGTGTGAAACACAACATAAACCGCTAGTATTCCTAGACAAAACACTATTAGACTAGCCGGTACAAAGAGGAAAAACGTTCGATTACCCCTTAACTTACAATCCTAATGTTCGACCCCCACACCTTCCTATCAAGAGCTATGTCCTCGGAAATCTGGAGCCTCACCATGTCCTGCCTCATCACCTCGCTCCAATACTTTTTAGGCCGTCATCTACCTCTTCTCGTACATGTCAAAGCCAACCGCTCACACCTCCTAACCGGGGCATCTAGGCTTCTCCTCCGCACATGCCCGAACCATCTAAGCCGCGCTTCCTACATCTTATCGTCCACCGGAGCCATGCCCACCCTCTCCCGAATATCTTCATTCCTAATCTTGTCCAGCCTAGTGTGCCCGCACATTCATCTCAGCATCCTCGTTTCTACTACTTTCATTTTCTGAATTTGTGAATTCTTGACTGACCAACACTCAGCCCCATACAAAATAGCTGATCTAACCACCGCTCTATAAAAAATTCTACCATAACTATGGACAATAAAGTGTATAAGATATCATGATATGTGAACGCCATAATAACGCAAATATCAAAAGGGAAAAAAATATTATCTTTGATGGAAAATGTCATATGTACCTCTTGAAAAGTAAATGAATCAAACGGAATTAGTTGTATCGTAAAGTCCGCCACATGAAGTGGAAGAAATTGAAGGAAAAGATGACATGGTCATGATGTCAAGCCTGTTGATATTTTTGTTCATTTTCTGCACATTGCCCAGAAATATGTTTAATTTTAGGATGGAGCTTTTCCATCTTCTGTAAACCATAGAATTAATAACTCTGATAATAGTTGGCACTTCAAAATTGCCCTGTACTTTGATGTTAAATGGTTGTACTTTGACTGGAAAATCTCCTTTTTATCCTGCAAACTGCATCATTAACCTTTTCAAAGACTTCTATCTTTATTCAGCAGTTAGTTTGATATTTTGTTAAATTTTCAGTGGAACAGATAATTAGTCTATTTCTATAATCTCTAGCCTGATTAATTTAATTCTTTATTCTCTTCCTCTAGATGACTTGGTGAAAGCATAGACTTGCAAGAAAACACATCACATATAAAAATGAAATGCCCAATATTGCACATAACATGGCGTTACTTCAGCATGAAAGTAAGTTACCAAAAGTCAATCTCCTCAATTACAAAATCCCCTTGTATTGGTTCATACTTTGTGCTCATTCTTCAAAAAAAAGATATGGAGAAAAGCAAGTTTCTAACAAGTCTAGTTCTAATACTTTTGTTTTCATATGTAAATGCAACAACATCAGTGCCTATATGGCCTAAGGCGAGCAAGCATTTCGTGCTAGTTCACGGGGCTTGCCATGGAGCTTGGTCTTGGTACAAGATTATGGCGTCGTTAAAAACTTCAGGACATAATGTCACAGCTCTGGACTTAGGTGCTTCGGGAGTCAACCCAAAGCAGGGCCTTGAAATCCCACATTTATCGGACTACTTTAGTCCGCTAATGAAGTTCATGGCTTCTCTTCCTGCAGATGAAAAAGTGATTCTTGTAGGTCATAGCCTTGGTGGATTTGCCATTTCTAAAGCGATGGAAAATTTTCCAGAAAAGATTTCAGTTGCTGTATTTGTCACTGCTCTAATGCCTGGTCCAACTCTCAATGCAACCACCATATTTATTGAGGTACCATTCCTCCATATTGCCAACTTTATCCCTGAGATGATCATCTGTTATGTTAGCTTACACTTTTTCATGTTTGAAAATTTTCGACTTCATTACAGTCATCCAAGGCAGCAATATCAGTACTTGATAATCGTGTTACATTCGATAGTGGACCTATGAATCCTCCAACAACCTTCAGCTTTGGTCCGAAGTACTTGGCGAGTTATCTTTATCCACTGAGCCCAATTCAGGTAAGCTAAGCATAATAAAATAATAAACTGAAATAGCTCAATACTGGTATTCTGATAATGAGAATGGAACCTTGTTTTTCTTTATAATGTGGAACTTATAACTGTGTTTCGTTTTTGCCCCCTTTCTTGGTATTAGGACTGGGCACTGGCTACTACAGTAGTAAGGCCATTATATTTATACAGTTCGGATGACATATCAAAGGAAATAGTTCTTTCAAGCAAAAAGTATGGATCAGTTAAGCGAGTGTTCATTGTGGCTGCTGAAGATAAAGTTCTAACAAAGGAATTTCAACAGTTGATGATTGAAAAGAATCCACCAGATGAAGTGGAAGAGATTTCAGGCTCTGATCACATGGCCATGATGTCTAAGCCTCTTCAACTTTTTACTCTTCTTATGCGTATCGCCAACAAATGACAGGCTACTTGATTACATAATCATGAATAATGTATAATTGAAATAAAATTAGATTACCCTTATTCTCACGCGTTAAAATGATGAATCAGTCTTGTTAATTATTTTCATCAGATCATACAGTCCAAAAGTTAATGTGCATATGTCATGTTAGGGAATACAACTGGAGCCCCAACTTAGTACTTACCTTTGTCTTGCCGAAATGTCTAAGGAACAACATGAGCTAAATAACCATGTACTCAAGATTATAACACGAGCTTTTTTAATGTCAAAATCTTACTTAAATTGGCGGGTTATGGAAACTTTGCAGAAAAGATTTCAGTTGCTGCTTTTGTTACTGCAGTGATGCCTGGTCCAACTCTGAACATTTCTACCCTCACGAAGGTGGTTAAAGTGCCTTTTCTTGAGTCATTCTATTTGCTGAACACACTTGGTTCTAATTTTATGCAAAGGACTCTGAAATTGCAATCATTTGATGTGATTTAGTCAGCAGTTGACATTGATATTTGTTAATATTTTATGCAGCTAGAGCCTGAATAACTTGTCTAAGTTCTTCCTCTAGTTGACTTGATGAATGATCAAAAATACAGAAAAGATATTCAATATACAATGCTCAACAAATAGTACTTGACGTGGGGTTGCTTAAGCAGTGAAGTAAGTTAGCAGGTCAAACACCTCGAGTATCAAGATTGCCTTATAATGGATCATACTATGTGCTAAGAGTTCAAAAGAAGAGAAAAAAAGTTAAATGGAGAAAAGCAAGTTTCTAATAGGTTTAGTACTGATACTTTTGTTTCCATATGTAAATGCAACAACATCAGGGCATAAATGGCGTAAAACAAGCAAGCACTTTGTGTTAGTTCATGGTGCGTGTCATGGAGCCTGGTCTTGGTACAAGATTATGGCGTCGATAAAAACATCAGGGCATAAGGTAACAGCTCTGTACTTAGGTGCTTCAGGAATTTCAACAGTTGATGATTGAAAAGAATCCACCAGATGAAGTGGAAGAGATTTCAGGCTCTGATCACATGGCCATGATGTCTAAGCCCCTTCAACTTTTTACTCTTCTTATACGTATCGCCAACAAATGACAAGCTACCTTGATTACATAATCATGAATAATGTATAACTGAAATAAAATTAGATTACCCTTATTCTCACGCTTTATTATTTTCATCAGATCATAGATTCCGAAAGTTAATGTACATGTCATGTTTGGGAATTGAACTGGAGCCCCAACTTAGTACTTACCTTTGACTTGCCGAGATGTCTAAGGAACAACATGGGATAAATAACCATGTACTCAAGATTATAACACGAGCTTTTTTAATGCCAAAATCTTACTTAAATTGGCAGATCATCGAAAGCTTTGCAGAAAAGATTTCAGTTGCTGCTTTTGTTACTGGAATGATGCCTGGTCCAACTCTGAACATTTTTACCCTCACAAAAGAGGTCAAAGTGCCTTTTCTTGATTCATTCTATTTGCTGAACACACTTGGTTCTAATTTTATGCAAAGGACACTGAAATTGCAATCATTTGATAACTTACTTGTCAGCAGTTGACATTGATATTTGTCAATATTTTATGCAGCTAGAGCCTGAATAACTTACTTGTCTAAGTTCTTCCTCTAGTTGACTTGATGAATGATCAAAAATACAGAAAAGATATTCAATATACAATGCTCAACAAATAGTACTTGACGTGGGGTTGCTTGAGCAGTGAAGTAAGTTAGCAGGTCAAACCCCTCGAGCTTCAAGATTGCCTTATAATGGATCATACTATGTGCTAAGAGTTCAAAAGAAGAGAAAAAAAGTTAAATGGAGAAAAGCAAGTTTCTAATAGGTTTAGTACTGATACTTTTGTTTCCATATGTAAATGCAACAACATCAGGGCATAAATGGCCTAAAACAAGCAAGCACTTTGTTCTAGTTCATGGCGCGTGTCATGGAGCCTGGTCTTGGTACAAGATTATGGCGTTGATAAAAACTTCAGGGCATAATGTAACAGCTATGGACTTGGGTGCTTCAGGGGTTAATCCAAAGCAGGTTCTTGAAATCCCACATTTATCGGATTACTTCAGTCCGCTAATGGAGTTCATGGCTTCTCTTCCTGCACATCAGAAAGTGATTCTCGTAGGACATAGCTATGGTGGGTTGGCCATATCTAAAGCCATGGAAAGATTTCCAGAAAAGATTTTAGTTGCTGTATTTGTTACTGCTCATATGCCTGGTCTAACTCTAAATGCAACCACTCTCTTGACTGAGGTATAATTTTACCAACTTTTTCTTTGCTATGATCTCTTCTTGTCAGCTAACACTTTTTCATGTTTGAAACTATTATCTAGTTACAGTCTTCTAGTGAAATGGTATCTCAACTTGATAATCGTGTAACATACGATAATGGACCGACCAATCCTCCAACGGCCTTCTTCTTCGGTCCAAAGTACTTGGCAAGAAATGTTTATCAGCAGAGCCCAATTCAGGTAAGCATAATAGTGAAATATCCAACCTTTGGTAGTCATGAGGATTGTCCTTATATTGCATGTTTTTGCCAAGTATTATTAGTAGACATCATCTACTCGAAAAACTAGCTCATTTACCTTACGATTTATTCAAATGGACGCTAAGTTGTGTCTCTTTTTGCCCTTTTGGTGTTAGGATTGGGTGCTGGCTACAACACTAGCAAGGCCACTTTACATATACAGTGAGGAAGACATATCGAAAGAGATGGTTCTTTCAAACAAAAGGTATGGATCAGTTAGGCGAGTGTTCATTGTGGCTGCTGAAGATAAAACTCTATTGAAGGAATTCCAAGAGTGGATGATTGAAAAGAACCCACCCGATGAAGTGGAAGAAATCCCAGGCTCCAATCACATGGTCATGATGTCTAAGCCCCTTCATCTTTTTAATCTTCTCCTGCGCATTGCACAGAAGTGACAAGCTTCTTGATCCAGCTTGTGATTTCATATTCAAAAATAAAGCATACTGAAATAAGAAGGGGAGTCTTGGCGTAAAAGGTAAAGTTGATGCCATGTGACTAGGAGGTTAACAGTTCGAGCCGTGGAAATAGCCTCTTGCAGAAATGCAGGGTAAGGCGTACAATAGACCCTTGTAGTCCGGTCCTTCCCCGGAGCTTAGTGCACCGGGCTGCCCTTTCAAAGCATTCTGAAATAAATTATAAAACTGCTCTTTTTGACTTGTGCAAATATTGCTAAATCAGGTCTAGGGGCGGCAATTTGAGCCCAAACCCATCTAACCCAGAGATTAATGGGTTGGGCTACAAACATTTTAGTTCATGGGTCAATTTGGGTTGAGCCCAAGTTAACCCATTATTTTTATAGCTCATTCTGACCCATTTAACAGTCCAAGTACAACTCATGAAACTCACCCAAAACAAAGGATCTCAACCANACACGCAAAACCCCTCAATTTCTTTTTTACTTTTTTTTATAATTTCAATTTTCTGTTTTTTGTTTTATATTTTTTCGTTTTTCTGCATCATCCACCCACCCCCAACCCCCCTCCCCACATATTTTAAGGTAAAAGGTTTTTTTATTCAAAATGAGCATGGTTCTAAAACATGGGTCAAGTTGGGCCGGTTGGGTTATGACCCATTGTTTAGCTCATCTTAATCCAAATACACTTTGAGCTGGGTTAGGCAATGACCCATTTATTGACCTAACCCATCTTGACCCGCCCAAATTCAGCCCAACCCGCCCATTTGCCACACCTAAATTCAGGTCTTCGGATGATGGTGCCTTTTTAATTTTGAGTTTTATGGTGTGCTGTCAAACTTCTGGAATCATTGACACTTGCACATCTTTGGTTTTGAAAAATGCTGCGTCCTGAAGACAACTCCATTGATGAGCATAGCAAAATAAGAGCTTCCATCTGTAATTCAACCATTTAAAATATTAATAGTTCCAAGTAAGACAACATTATAAATTCTTGTCTGTTAAATAACCTATTGACATAAAAGTAGGCTTAACATCCAAACAACTACACATAGAGATTAGTAATGCTCAAAAACAATGCAATAGCAAGCTGGAAGCATTTATGAGAGAATAATCCAAAGCGTAAAGTATCCTTGGAACAACCCAAACAAATAGCCAAATTCTTGTTTTCAATCGATTTGCTGAACATACTTGGTTTTCAATTTTATGAAAGGAAACCAACTTTGCAGTATTTGATGAGCTTTTAGCACTTTGTGCTTGTTTTTGTTATTCCCATTTAGTAACTTTTTCATCTACTCATTTATTCTGCATAGCATATGGGATATCTGAAAGACTAATCAGTAGACAGCAGAAATCTATCTGTCTACAAGATCTCTAGCCTGAATAATTCAATTATTTATTCTTTATAAAGGTCAACTCCTCTAACTATAATAAGATCCTTTATAATCTTCATCCCATGTGTACAACTGCTTATAGTTCAAAAGAAGGAAAAAAAGAAGATATGGAGAAAAGCAAGCATCTGATAAGTTTTCTGCTGATACTTATCTTGCCATATGTAAATGCAACAACATCAGGGCCAAACTGGCCTAAAGCTAGCAAGCATTTCGTGCTAGTTCACGGGGTATGCCACGGAGCCTGGTCTTGGTACAAGCTTGTGGCATTGATGAGATCTTCGGGGCATAATGTCACAGCTCTTGACTTGGGTGCTTCAGGGATCAACCCGAAACAGGTTCTTGAAATCCCACGATTATCTGATTACTTTAGTCCGCTAATGGAGTTCATGGCTTCTCTTCCCGCACATGAGAAAGTGGTCCTTGTAGGTCATAGCTTTGGCGGATTCGCCGTCTCTAAAGCCATGGAAAGCTTTCCGGAAAAGATTTCAGTTGCTGTATTCGTCACAGCTGGAATGCCTGGCCCAACTCTCAATGCAACCACAGTCTTCGTAGAGGTATCATTTCGCCACCCTTAGCCTTAAGATGATTTCTTTCAATAGTATAACACTTTTCATATTTCATATTGAATTACAGGCTTCTAGTGAAATAATATCTCAACTTGATAATCGTCTTACGTACTACAATGGACCGAACAATCCTCCAACAACCTTCATCTTTGGTCCAAAGTACTTGGCGAGTAATCTTTATCAGTTGAGCCCGATTCAGGTAAGCTAAGCATAACCAAGATATAAATGTGGAAGAGCCGAGTTATGATTCACTGATCAAGAGAATGGCCTAAATGTGAATTGTTTTCACAAATACTATCAGTCATTATTGCAGTTAATCAATTGAATATGCCTCAATCCTAAATGAGTGGAGTCAGCTATATGAATCTTCACATCACTTGATCAACCAACTATGCCTGATCGTGCATTTCGCTTTACTTGGGATCATTTCATTCTAATACTAAAGTTTGAGGTTACCTTTATCTCATTCTTATCCCTAAAAAGATATACAATCTGTAACTAGATTAATATGATTCCAGATGAATCTACATCATAAAGAACTCATCGAATTGCGCTTTTTTTAATCTCTTTGGTTAGGATTGGGCGCTGGCTACTACATTAGTAAGGCCAATATACTTAAACAGCCTAGAGGACATATCAAAGGAGATTGTTCTTTCAAGCGAAAGGTATGGATCAGTTAGACGAGTGTTCGTCGTGGCTGCTGAAGATAAAGCTCTAACAAAGGAATTCCAGCAGAGTATGATTGGAAGGAATCCACCTGATGAAGTGAAAGAAATCTCAGGATCTGATCACATGGTCATGATGTCTAAGCCCATTAAACTTTTTACTACTCTTCTGCAGATTGTCAACAAGTAACAAGCTATATATATTGATTAGCTTAACCCAACTTGTGATTACATGATATCAAGGATAAAGCATTATTGCAATATACTTCAATATACAAGCAAGTTGCCCATCTTCTTATCTATTTTGAGGTTATCACTTAGCATCTACAACAACAACAATGACCCAGTGAAATCCCACTAGTAGGGTTTGGGGAGGGTAGTGTGCATACAGACGTTACCCCTACCCCGAGGGATAGAGAGACTGTTTCCGAAAGACCCTAGGCTCAAGAAGACGAAAAGAGGTAATATATCAGTACCATCAATAAAAATCATAGAAAAAAAAACAGCATCATAAGAACCAGGAAATAAATGGAAAGCCCAACAATAACAAGTAGATAAAGCCCGACACTAAGATGAACGAAAGAGTAGTGAGAACTAAACACTAACCACTAGCAATCTAAGACTAAATCCTAACAGACTAGCCTCAACTGGTCGTGGAGGCTATGCGTAAGATGAATAGGGGCAAAGCTACAGGGCCAGACGAAAAATAGTGCCTCCCTTAGCACTCAGTATCTGGGGTTGAAAAATAGTGCCCCCATTACACGCGTTATTTACACCCGGTAGCCACTTTTGTGGCCATGTATTTAGAAATTGGTAAGTTTTTCAAAATTAGAGCAGTAGTCTGAATTTTAATTTTGATCTTTAAACTTCAGGCCAGGTAATTACTTTCAACTTCATACTACTGGTCTAATTTTGAAAAGTGACCTTGTATTTAATCTCTTAAATAACCTCTACGACTATAAGAAGGCTCAACATCAAAACAATCCCAAAAAGATTAGAAATGCATAAAACACTATAAGAAAGTGAGGATACGACGATATTTATTTAGTGACATTTGAAATAAATGTCGGGAAAATGCAATAGCAAGCAGTAAGCGTTCACTTTGAGACAACAATCATAAAGGAACTTTGGCCCAAAATATAACTAAATACGCAAAGCAAATTTTTGAAGGCTAATGTAAGGATCCAATTTTTCCTTTTTTATGCTTGGGGTAACTAACTAAAGTGTATCTATCATGTGTGGAAAAACTTCCGTAAACCACCTATCTTTTCAGTAGTGAAATACCACGAGAGAGAGAAGAATTGAAGCGAAAGACATGTCAATCATTTTCATTACATCTGACGTTCTTAAGGTTGATGTGTATAGATCATGCGTAGACAAACTTGTGGGTACGGGATTCTAGTTCGTTTATATTATTGAATTTTAAATTAATAATTATATATATTCAATGAATTTTGTAATACAAATACAGAATTTAGACCAAAGTTACTAGGTTCGGCTAAACCCGCAAGCCCTATGCTAGCTCCGTCACTGATCCTTGACCTAGTGAAATGTCGAAGGAATGTGTTAGGCGAGTGTTAATCGTGGCTGCTCAAGATAATATTCTAAAGAAGGAACTCAAACAGTATATGATTGAAAAGAATCCACCAGATGAAGTGGAAGAGATCTCAAGGAGCTGATCACATGGCCATGATGTTTAAGCCCCTTCAATTTTTTACTCTTCTTCTGTGCATTGCCAACAAATGACAATCGACCTTAAGTAACAGCTTAATCAAGAATAAAAACATGTTCTCAACAATCAAAAAAATTTACTCCAATATACGAGCAAAAGAAATTCCAATGGAAGGGTTACCAGCTGGAAGCACAAAACAAGATCCTCAACCTAATTTTCTAACTTTTTGAAGGGATAATTTCAGCCCTGGTCACTTGGGCTCCCCATTTTTCAATTTTATAACCCATATTTCAATTTACAACCAACTAGCCCAAAAATAATAGGCTAAGATTCAACATCCAACTCTAATAGGTTCTCAAAATTACCATTTAGTTTTTAAAAAGGATTGCTCAAGCTTTTGAGTTAACTTTCGAATTAGTAATTGTGACTCAAATATTAGTTCAACAAACCAAATCTATTTGGGTGGTGAAAATTAGATTTTTAACAAGCTTAAATATGTGGGCTTAAATTTCGAATTTGATTTTGTGAGAAATTTGGAGTGGGTGTTATTTAGACTTGTTAGAAATAGTATAAGGAGGTTGTATATAAAATTTGAAGTCATTTAATGNTTTTAACAAGCTTAAATATGTGGGTTTAAATTCCGAATTTGATTTTGTGAGAAATTTGGAGTGAGTGTTATTTAGACTTGTTAGAAATAGTATAAGGAGGTTGTATATAAAATTTGAAGTCATTTAATGGAGATTTGGACTGGTTTTGAATAGGAATTGCAACTGAAAATCGTGAAAGAAGTTCGTCTACAGACGTTTGTATAAAGGTGTATAAAAGTGTATAATAGTGTATACGATGTGTTTATACACTCATATACACTATTATACAAGATTATACATAATTATACAAAAAACTGACTTCGTCTTCTTCCTTGCGTTTTTTCTGAAATTTAACTCAAATCTTGCTCAAATCTACTCCAAATCACTTCAAATTTAAACTTTGAACTCCTTTTGATATTTTCAATCAATTGGAACAACATCCAATCCAAACAACTAAGAATTACAATAAATTCTATTTTTTAAAGCAAAGCTTTCAATGCCCTTTAATGGTGGACTTCTACTCTTCAATTTTTTTACATTGCAACCAGATGCTATAGGGGGAAGAAGCAGTAATGGCGGATGGCCCCTTGAAGCATATGTAAAATAAAGTGAGAAGAAGAGAGAGTGAAAATAATGATTGTGAGAACACAGATTTAACTCCATAGCTTTTAGAAGCAATGGTTGTAAGAACACATATTTTGAATTTGCAAGAGCTAGTGTTTTCAAAATATGTATAATATAGGCTAGGTGGGGTAAAACTTAAAAACATGGGCCATTTTTTGTTATGGTGTGAAGTCATGTGTATTTTCTTGTAATTCTTTCCTTTTTGAATGCTCAATATTAATCATGTCATCAAGTCTTGACCACGTACCGAGGTATTCAATTAAACTAATAATAGGAACAGAGTCCCGAAAATAACTATACCAATAAACAGAGGCGAATTGAGAATTTAAACTTTATGAGTTCAAATTTGCAATTCTACTACATCTCATCTACAGTAGACACTATCCTAAATAGCTTATTGCTATCTATAGTTATGAGAATAGGGTATGCTTTTGATCTCTCTCCATGATTCATCTAGGCCTAGAGTGAAAACCCATTGTCTTGTTGGCTTTTTTTTCTATAAAGTGTCATCAAGATTTTATGCCTCCTTTTATCTGGGTCGAAACCCAATGAATAGTAACAACTATAAGTTCGTAAATTCAGCAACATTTAAACTAGGAAGAAATCTAGCTTCTCTTGTACTAGGATTGAAAATAACAGCACTACGAGCATTCCACAAGCACAGCAAAACCTTTAGCATATTCATATTTAATCCACCTAACGCCACTTATTTCTAAACACGAAGGAGAAGGATGGAGGCTTTTAAACTTAGCATGCTTAAAAATGGCTACATCGTGTCCTAACGTTCGAAAATTGTATCCAGAAGTTTGAATCTTATGTCCTAAATTTTAAATTAGTAGTTCAAAAATTCAGGACACATAGTCCTGAATTTCGAATTAGCAGCTCAAAATTTCAGAACATTATATCTTAAATTTCCAAATTCAGGATGCTTAGACTTGAAGTTTGAATGAATTAGTTAGTCTTTAAATACATTGTAAATTTTAAACATATTTTAAATAGCGAATTTAAAAGTGGTTATTGCTGCACTTCACCCTATAAATACTCTTATGATATCGAAGATTTTGTTAAAGTGCTCTCCTCCTTCTCCTTCTCCACAGGGGAAACCGTTTATTGCCAGTAACACTAGGGTTAGCGGGAGTTTTTTATTGACACTACTTGGGGGATAACATCCACACTACAATTTTAATTGGCTCAATTGAGGAACTTATCATAATTTATAAATGAAAAAGATTTGCACAAAAGTAAAGCCCCACATACTACATTGCACCTACATAGCCATGTTTTTAAGTTGGCAGAATACATTGGCAACCCTTAAAGTGTCTCTCACTCTTCTTGACACTTCATTTTAAGTCCGTTCCATTTGAACACTCCAATCACACCTCGAATGTGTCATTTAAACACAAAATTCATAAGCAGCCAAACATAAATAATGCATGTAATTCACTCACCACATTGACAAATAAAAAAGAGACACATGGATTTAACTTGAATTAATTAATTAAAAAAATCTTTTGAAAAAAAAAGTTGAAGAAAAACAAAAACTCTACTACCCATAACCATGCCTTGAATCTTCCAACTTCCATCACTTTTAAGTTTTAACCACCACCTACAGTGGTTTTAGCCGTAAAATCAGCCCTTAAGAATACTCCATAACATATCCTCGGGCTTCTCCATAATCACAGTCAAACACCCCCACTTCCGTCCCTCATTTATATAAATCACGAATTTCTTGCAGATTGAATTAGGAGCTCTAGTTTTTGACAATTGAGAGAATACATGGAGTTGGGAAATGGGATCTGGGAGTGGTGAAGTAGGGCTTATGTCTTTAAAAATGGCTAATGTGAGAAGAAAGAATCTTAGTTGAGAAAAAGAGGAGAGCAACAAAGAAGAATAACTTTTTGTGATTTTTCCGTCAAGCTCCATTTATTCCGATAATGAAAACTTAGAAGTAAGGTGAATGGTGATGGAGTGGTTGAGGGAGAGAGAGAGAGGGGAAGGTGATGACCTAGACATGAGGTGCAAAAGAATTGGCGGAAAAAGAAAAGAAAAAAAGTTATAAAAAGAAAAATTGATTTGTCACGCTCTTAAAAGTGGTGTAATACACCCTCTATGACATATCATCATTTTTTGTTTAAATGACACATTAGAGGTGTGGTTGGAGTGTTCAAATGAAACAGACTTAAGATGGAGTGTCAAAGTGAAAAGTGAGGACAACTTTAAGAAGCCGCGGATATATTTGGCCTTTTAAGTTTATATTTGCATAGTCCATTATTGTTTGCAATATGGGTCACTTTTGGCAATGTACCT